CCCCAAATGTTACTTTTTAGATTTAGTAACAGTTTTACGGCACTTGAAACTCAATAAAGTTATATTAGTGCCGAAGAATAGATTACCTGTTACAAGAGAGTAACATATACACAAAAAAGGAGGGGAGATATAGGACGACAGATGTTTGCTAGGAAAGAAGGAGCAAACCACACCAGAGCACCCTCCAACCACCCACTACCCAAACGTTAAAGCTACCAGCTCTACACAAATACATTTAACTTTACAATTTCCAAAAAGTGCAAGAAGATGAAGCAAGCCACACGTGCTCATCATCCAAGCATCTGCCAAGTATTTCCAAGAGGAATCTCACGTGATCTATCATATTCCTTCACCACCACACCAAAAAATCCTCCACCAAAAACAGATTCTTTAGTTTAGTTTTAGTAGAGGTTTCACGGCGCTCACAACTGCACAAGGTCATATGAGCGCCAGAAGATTAGAGGTGTTACAAGACGAGTAACAAACATAAAAAAGAAGAAGAGGAGATAAGGACGATAGATGTTTGATAGGAAAGACGAAGCAAACCACACCAGAGCACCCACCAACCACCCACAAAAACAGATTCTGTTCATTATATTCTGCCAATATATTTCAAGAAGGATACAATAATTTTACCTCCTTAAGCCGATCTCTGATGAGTCCCGCTCCCTCTTTCTGAAGGGCAGATATATCCTTCTCCAAGCCTTTCATTTTCTCTTGAAGCTGCAGATTTCTTTGCTGGAAAAAAAAAAAAAGAAACCCAAAGAAACCAAATGAAATCATACTACAGATAAAAAGGAAAAAAAACCCAAACAGAAAGCAAGATACAATACAGCAATTGCGTTTTCAGTTTGGAATAACCAAGTGTACAGTTTTATAACAATTTTTCAGCACGCACAGATTAATGAAGGTGTTATGATTTGAATTGTCGACAAATAACTAACCCCCCCCCACCAAATCCCTGCATGTTTTCACAAAAGCAATATGTGAGGCAGCGTGGTGGAATCAGGTTCTCGTCAATTTTGGGGCATGTAGAGTTATTGGTATCATCTTAAAGCTTGTTCACTTGTCTTTCTTTGGATGAAAAAAAAATCCATTTATCTTGAATACAAGTTGAGATATTTGCGAAAGAATGAGATGTGGGTCACCTGTTTTCAGAGGTAAAATAAGTGAGAAAATGGCCGCCAAAGACTAGTTATTTCCTTAGCTTAAGAGTCCGTGGTAATTGGAAATTTACATTTTTTGTTCCTTTAATCATTGTTTTTGAGAAAAATCCACAAAGAAATGAGTTCTTTAAAGGGCATGAAAGGTGTTGAGCCAAAAAACAAAAATTTGATAATTCACAAACTTGCGGAAAAATGCAAGTTTCTTCACTTTGATTATTTTGACGAGAGCCTGATTCCACCACGCTGCCTCACATATGTTCTTTTTTCCTTTCATTTGAATGGCACATAGGCCATGTACAAAGTGATTGTTTTCTTTATTTAAAGCTATACTATAACTGACCAGTAAAGATCTGACATAAGCGCATCGTGCGCGCGCACGCACACACTCACTCTCTCACACACACGCACGCACACATACACACAAAAAAAACCTCGTCCACTATCTCACCTTTTCCTGTTCTATCTGCAAGGAGAGCATGGCCCTGTACTGCGGCGTCTGCATGAAGGTCAGGAAGGACAAGTAGCGCTGCTTCATGTTTTCTGAAACACACACACACACAAACACAGGTCACCACTCAGTACTAGGATTAAATGACTCAACATTGTACATTGACCTAAACGCTGCGTAATCAGTCCTGTGTCGTTCATAAAACTCCACTTGATCAACCAAGAGTCATTTATAAAACACACCCAAAAAAAAAAAAAAGAATAATAGTAGAAAGCATTTGTATAGCACAAATTCCTGCTAAACAGAAACCTCTATTCGCTTCACAATCTATACTATTACCCCAGCAGATCCGATACCATTCTGAAACAATCTCAACTTCCTGGGAAGCAAACAGTGCAAGCTGCCATTTGTATAGAATGGCTTCGCTCTAAGAAATATGTCAGATGATGCTTATTCAAAGAATACGGTTTGATGCAGAGTTGGTGTTGTAGTTTGAGCTTAGTTGCAGGTTCAACAAAGTCTAAAATTACCACAAGAACATTTTCACTGCGAATCTGCCAGTCAGGTAAAGTTCCCCACGCTGACCTCTTGACCCGTTGGTAATGGCTGGTTTGAGTTACGCTGAGCGTCGGGGCGTTGCAGGGTGCCGATAGAACTAAAGTACTGCCTGTGAACAGCCGTCATCATCATCAATGCCTTTCACCCCTGGCAGGGTATAGGCCACATACAAGCTCCTTCCATTTATCTCTATCCTGAGCCATCCTTCCAAGCTCGTTCCAAGTGAGCTTCATTTCTCTCATGTCCCTTTCCACACATCTCCTCCTTGTTTCCCGTGGCCTACCCCTGCCTCGTGCTCCTTGTGGGTTCAACTGCAGTGACTGTCTTGTGATGTTTCCGCTGGGCTTTCTTAAGGTGTGTCCCATCCATCGCCACTTTCTTAGTCCCAATTTCTACTTCTATATCCTTTTGTTCTGTCCTTTCCCACAGTTCATTTTTTATTCTATCCTGCCACTTAATTCTTAGAATACTCCTCATACATCTGTTGATGAAAGTCTGGACTTTATTCAGTACTGTTTTCGTTGTCTTCCAAGTTTCACAGCCGTAGAGGAGCAGACTTGACGTTGGAGTTAAAGAGTCGAATCTTGGTGCGCCGTGATAGGTGTTAAATAATAAAACAGACCCAAACACTGTGTAATCCAGCCTGAGTCGTCGAGCACACTCACCAATCATGTTGAGGAACCCGGCTTGCTTCTCCAGCATGGACACCGTCTGTTTCTGCACGCTGGGCTTGAAGAAGGCGTTGGAGCTCTCTGTCATCCTGCGGTCATTGTAGCTGACCTTCTCCGAGGAATCTGAAAACAACACAATGTTTTTGTTTGAGTAAAATGAGACCCGTCCATACAACAAGAACGGTCATTTGGTACTGGGAAAGAGATATAGAAGACAGACATATGGCAGCCAAGTTTTCAAAACTAAGCTACTTCGATACAATAACTGTCATTTAGTATGGGAAAAAGCAATGAACTTAGCTGCAAAGTTTTCAAAACAAAACCAAATATATTCAAAAACTACCCATGCAACAGTGCAAGATGGTGGGCATCAGCGGAGTAACCCCTACACTTATAAATGATATATATTTTTTTTTAAATGCAAATGATTTTATGTCCCCATCAACGAACTTTTGATCATATAGGAAGGGGGCTTTTGACCCTGATTGTAAGGGCCAACGTCGGCTGAGAGAGAGATGCAATGTGACATCATGCCAGCACACAAAGAGCAAGATACTCCATAAAAATTCTCCCCACCCAGGTGTACTCTCCCCTGCTGGTGAGGTCCCCGTAGTTTTACTATGGCGGAGCAAAGAATACACCTGCCGTGATACTGCGTGTCGTAAGAGGCAACTAAAAGTGCATAGGTCTGGTCGCCCGAAAGTGCCAGTTTGCAGAGGGCCAACTACCCAACCCAGCAAAAAACAGTAAGTTACAGAAACACGGACAAACACAGCCTTTTATTTTTCGATTTTGGGAGACGGAGGAGCTTCTGCATCAGCAGGAACAATGAAGGAACATCAAGAGGCTAGCCCAGGATAGAGAAAAGTGGAGGGTGTTTGTCCGTGGCCTATACCCTGATGCAGGGTGAGAAAGGCAATGATGATGATGAGGTGTACTGCGTGTGACAGCAAGGTGCCTAACCACTACACCACAGGTGCCTGTACTCAAAAATGTTTTGTGGTGACTTAGCTGTTTAGTACGCACTCAGACGAGAGAGGCGAGTTTCAGCCTCTTCCTTTTTTTCGTCTTAGTTTTGGCTTTAGTAAAGAGGTTCTTTTTACAACTAGGTCGTATAACTGCCGAAGATTAGAAGCTTTACTAGATGGTAAACATGCAAATAAAAGAAGAGATAAGGACATCAGATGTTTGGTAACACAAATAAAAGGAGGAAAAATAAAGACAACAGATGTGGGGGGGTTTTTATGGCAGAGGGTTTAACGGCACTCGCAACTGCATACGGTCATATGAGCGCCAAGGGGTGGGTGTCAACAGAGAAGTCTTTACAGGGAATCAGACTAAAGACTGCTCACCTCTCTAGCTTCAACAGCATAAGGTCTGCTTCGACTATCAAGGCACCCCGGAAATAGCAGGTCACACGGGAGTGACAAACTTACAAAAAAAGTAAAGGAAAATGACAATAGTAAGGATCAGGAAAGAAAAAGCAGCAGTTATCTGTTGTAGATCAGGCACAGTTATGAGCGTGACATGAGTCAGCTCATTTACAATTCTACTGTGCTTGAACGAGATATGTCCCCCCTTTGGGGAATGGCCTAAAGACACTTCAGTCAGTGGTACCGCCCCGGGGGGTACAATAGATGTTTGATAACATACAAATAAAAGGAGGAGAAAAAAAGACAACAGATGTTTGATAACATACAAATAAACGGAGGGGGAGAAGTAAGGATGACAGATAGGAAAGAAGGAGCAAAGCCCAGCAGGGAGCACCCGCCCACGCCTGCTCACCTTTGCCGGACGTGGACATGATGGTGTGTGCGTGGAGCAGGTTCAGACTGTCCAGCGAGGGCGGGGCCACAGAGGTCGCGTGGTGCACGCCCGCCGCAGTGGAAGTAGTCGTGCTCACGCTAGCCGCGGACAACGCGCCAACAGCAGCGGCGGCGGCCGACATCGGGATCGCCTCCTGGTCGCCCTCCGACAGGACAGACTTCCTGGACCGGCCCGTCTTCGGCCGGGGACGGAGTTCGACGACTGCCTTCGACTTGATGGGGGACGTCGGGGAGTCCTCTCCCAAGCTCTTCTTTCCGGCTGAAATTTAAAAACAACGACACTGAAGGAAACAGTCTACCGGGGACAAAATGAGCTTCTCGTGTGATTCTGTCGAAGTTTTGTTTGTCTTAGGAAGGAAGAGTTTTATGGCACTTGCAATTAGGTCATATAAGTGCAGAAGAATACTACTCAAGTACTGTTAAATACTGGAAATTTTCAAAACAAATCACAACCCCTTTTTAAACAGGTGCCTCTTCAGCAGCTGAAAACAATGATAGGCGCTATGTGCAAAAAGTAGTTATAATAATAATAATCCTCATCAAAATAAATTTCACAACTTTTTTGTTTACTATTTCCATTGTCAATTTTTTTGATGAAACCAAACAAAACCCCCAAACTCATTGGCTTTTCCATCATTCTGACCCTTGTGCCAGCTGGAAGAAACCTAACCAGTAGCTCAAAGAGAGAGTGTAACTTCAAAACCTTACCCTTATCTGAGTTTTTTTAGTTTTAGTAAGTGTTTTACGGCACTTGCAACACAATGAGGTCATATGAGTCCCGAAGATTAGAGGTGTTGCAAGAGAGTAACAAACAGAAAAAAGGAGGAGGAGAGATCAGGACGACAGATGTTTGATAGGATGAAAGAAGGAGCAAACCACACCAGAGCCCTCGCCAACCACCCATGCCCTTATCTGAGAACACTGTTACATCACCAACAAAATCGTAAAGAATGATACATCTGCCTCCCTTAACACTTTGCAGTCACACAGCCAGCTGGTCACCCAGCCAGGAGAGGGACTGCAACGGACTTCTCAGGCCCGGCGCAGAACTGCGCCAGGTGGCCGAAACGGACAATTTTCAGCGCCGTCGCATTATTGCTGCAAGTGACCGCAAAGTGTTAAAACAGAATAAAAAGCGTGAAAACTATCACAAAAAAACCACAGTAACAAAAAAACAAACAAACAACTAAAAATAGTTGCAAAACACTGCCACCGGCGGCAGATACCGTCGCTGCTTCAGCTCACCTTGCATCTTACGTTTCCCGAGAGCCCCGTTGTTCAGACGCTTGATGGTCTTCATTTTCTTCTTCCTCATCTGGCTGATGACACCTTTCATCTTACCCTCCGGAATAGTGTCTGCAGTCTAGAGGACAGGCCAGAGGAAAGGGAGAATAATTAAGAAATACGGCGGCGATCAACCAGTACGGTGTAAAACTCTACATTATTTCTGCATGAAAGTTTCATTTATCGAGAGTAGTATTGCTTACAGACGTAAGTCATTTTTGGCAGCCTTCGAGATACGTCTGTATGCAATACTGTCCGCGTAAGGCACATGAGCACACAAGAATGGACAAAAACCAGAAACCTAAACCATATTAGGTACATTTTCTTAGTCAAGCATATAATATAACAGCGAAAAAAATTTTGCTAAGGAATTCAGAACTGGCTGGATGATCATTCTGACAATCAGCCAAAACGCAAAAAAAAAAAGAAAAAAAAAAAAGCGAGACAAGACTATTTGCGCTTAAACGTGCTCATACATCAATTACAACAAATGAAACGTTCCAGATATGCTCCCAAAATACAAACCAATCCTCAAACAACATCTAAGAATGAGAAGCGTAGAAGAAAAAAAACAAAAAACCCCTGTTCAGAGAGATGTGTACATGGCTGCTGAGAGCAGGGCTGCAGGAAGCACAGGAAGCGGGGAAAAGTGAGGGGCCAGTCTCTAAACCAAAGACAGACAGGGACAAGAAGCGACAAATCCGTACTCCACGTAACGTGACAGACAGACAGGGACAAGAAGCGACAAATCCGTACTCCACGTAACGTGACAGACAGACAGACAAACAGGGACAAAAAGTGACAAACCTGTACTCCACATAACATGACAGACAGACAGGGACAAGAAGCGACAAACCCGTACTCCACGTAACGTGACAGACAGACAGGGACAAGAAGCGACAAACCCGTACTCCACGTAACGTGACAGACAGGGACAAGAAGCGACACGCGTACTCCACGTAACGTGACAGACAGGGACAAGAAGCGACACGCGTACTCCACGTAACGTGACAGACAGGGACAAGAAGCGACACGCGTACTCCACGTAACGTGACAGACAGGGACAAGAAGCAACAAACGCGTACTCCACGTAACGTGACAGACAGACAGGGACAAAAAGCGACAAACCCGTACTTCACGTAACATGACAGACAGACAGGGACAAGAAGCAACACACCCGCACTCCAAGTAACGTGACAGACAGGGACAAAAAGCAATGAATGCGCAACTTCACAGGACGTGACACAGGGTACAACAAGCTACAAACGTGACACACAGGACAACAAGCAACACGTATTTCACGAGATGTGACACACAGGACAACAAGCAACGCTTACTTCACAGAACAGGACACACGAGACAACAAACAACGAACGTGACACAGGGTACAACAAGCAACACATACTTCACAGAACGTGACACACGGGACAACAAACAACGAGCGCGCACTTCACCGGGCGTGACACACTGGGCAACAAGCAATCAACGCATACGTCATAGAACGTAACACACACAGGCCAGACACCAACAGGCCTACTCTACCTCACCAACACAGCAACTCCTCACTGCCAGGACAACATACGTAACAAAACAACACACTACATGCTTCCACTCAAAGCCAAAAAATCCCACTCCACATTCATTTTGAATACATTTTACCAAAAACAAAAACTTTCATCACATCTCGGGTGATGTGGATATAACACCCCCCCCCCCCCCCCATATAAAGGAACCTATATCAGGCAATGTATGCTACCCCAACAACTTGCGGATGTCACCCAAAAAATAAGCATACATTATTTCAAGGAATTATGGGGATTTTTCCCCCCCCCCAGCTCTCAAAATCTTGAACAAGGATATGCACTAAAAATGCAGAAGAAGATCATCCGCAGTGCTCATAAGACTCTCATTCGATGCTATTTTCGCTCTCACACAGAGCAGACACAAGCAAACACAACACACTTGCGTCCAACAGCTGATCCAAAGGACCTGTCTTTGTGAAGTAAACCAGAAAATTAGGCTACACAGTCAACAATCCTTTCTCATCAAATGACAGTTGAGAGCTGGCATCTTCTAACAATAAAACATTCACCTTTGAATGCTTTGAATGTGGACCCAACTTCCCTCAGCTAGTGGGGGGGAAAAAAAGAAATGGGGAGTCTACTGAATTTTTAAAAGATGCTATTTCCCTTTCCAACAGCGAGTCCCAGAAAGCTATTTCCCTCTCCAACAGCGAGCCCCCAGAAATACAGTCCCCCCCAAACACAGGAGCACCATACGACGGAAGCACTTACAGAACTATCATTATCATTCTCCGTGCCCGACTGAGACAAGGGTCGTTTGACGTATTCGTTCCACTGGCGTCGCGTGGTGGGGCCCAGTACAACAACAGCGGAGGCCGAGGAGGGGGGCGGGGGCGCATCGTCGGCCGTGCTGGGAGTGCTGGCAGTGGTGGTCGTGGTCGACTGACTCGAGTTGGACGCAGAGTCAAAGTCGAGCACTTTGGCCACCGACGAACCCAAGGCGGAAATTGCGCCGTTAGCCCCCAGATGTTCCATGCCCTTACCGTTGATGCTTCGCCGCCACCGACCCGACGCAGCGGACAAGGCTTCCTGTGTCGGGACAACAGGCAGCCGTCAGAAACCCAACAACAACTACAGCAACAACTACAACACTTTCTTTTAAATTCTCTCACACAAGACGATGATAACTCAAGCCAACCAGGAAGACGGAAGACATAAGCAGGGAATCCCAAAAGAAAACCAATAAAAGGTGGTTTTTAAAAAGCATTTTACATTGTGACGGGAAAAATCATTGCAGCTAAACCTTTCATGCTGGCTAAATATTAGTCATCTCAACTGTGAAAAAGAAAACTACAAAGACAGTAGCAGTAATCATAATGATACAAGAATTCCAGGCATTAAAGGCAGATTCATGGTATTCAAACCTTTCAAAAATAGGTCTAGGTAATCCATAAACCCCCCCCTGCAAAAGTTTGAGAGCAGACCTCAACTTTTTTTTAAGCCAAGTTGGATCTGATTTTCACAAGTTTAAAATTTGGACATTTTGGTATCGTCTGTCATTCCCTCGACATTTTGGAACAGTAGTAACATTATCAATAGTTTGGCGATTCAAATATCAAAGTTGCTCCCAAGAAGAGAAAAACAAACTCAAGAAACGTCTGTACTCTTGAAACGTGGAGATGTTTAAAAAAAATTCCCCCTCCCCATGTTGTCATCGAGTTGAGCCTGCACAGACACACAGAGAGAGGGGGGGGTCCGACCTAAAGCCCAAGCCGAGATTCACAGGCATCAGAGAGCAGGAAGTGAGTCGCCTCAGCATAAAGCATCACAGCTCACTATCACAAAGTCAACAAAAGCAAGCCGTCTTTTATTTCTCTTCACAAAGTGGAATGCACGACATTCACTCATACAAAACTGTCGTCAGATTTCATTACTCCATTACTGAACATGAACATGTTTTGAATAATGATAAAAATTCATGCAGATAGGGTCTCTTGCAAACATTTCAGCAGGATGCCAACCTTTCAACTCACAGGAGCAAAGTCTGGGCAGCTATGAATTTCCTCAGCTATAAACTTTTTGCCATTTCCAGCTTTGTCAAACAATGGGGGGGGGGGCACGGCGCCAACCTTCCATGTGTCAGTAATACCATTGCAATTTTTCAAACTCAAAGATCATTGCAAAGATGCTCGACTTAACTTTATTCATATACATTACTTCCAAATTCCCGATCGTCCATGTATCAGCCATCACCCAAATGCAAAGTGACCAGTCTACAACTGTGGTAGCCCGCCATTGTTTCAAAAATATGATTGGAAAAATTCACGTCAGTATTCATTCAGAGACTATCATGAGCAAACTTCACACTGTCTCATTTGAAAGAGAGAAAGAAGCTTAAGGGCTACGGGGTTCTCTCTAACGGCCAACGCTATCCAGGTTGTTTTAAGCGAAGAGACAAGCTAGTCGGTGCATGAAAGGCGTCGTCACGGAAGCATGAAGCACAACAGAAAAGAACCGCGTACAATCAAAGAACAACTCCTTACCACCCCTCCAGCCAGGGCTCCGTTGATCTTCTCCCTGATGGACTGCACTGGGCGACCTCGCCGATCTTTCCTCGTCTCTGGCTCATCCTGATGGAAAAAAGGAAGGCAGAAAGAGAATAATATAACAACTCTCCATTGAATTGTTTTCATCAACTGGAGACTGTGGTCCAAATGCGGCACAGGTCAATGCAGTAGTCGTATCTGTCACTTCCGATTGTGTTACTGAACAGATTTAAAACTTTTACGTTTGTTCGTTGTAGTAAGGAAAAGGACATCGACACAATAATGTCATTTAGTGAAGGGAGACAGACAGACAGACAGACAGACAGACAGATGGACAGACGGACGGATGGACAGACAGACAGAAACAAAGGGAAAGAAAAGGATAATCACCTGCCAGCACTGCCTCCGAACAAACTGGGGACTACTTTATACATCAAAGAACAAAGTAACTTTTCATAACAAGTTTCTCCTCATTTGTTGATGTTGCTATCGATCTAGCAACAGCTGGGCTCTCTCCCCCTTGTGTCCAATGCCATGCAGTGATAAGTGCACGTTTGCTGCACTTGCTGTACTGTTCCACAGAGTAGGTTCACCTCCTCATTTACAGCTTACAAGACATTACTGGGAACAACATTTCTTTTACGTGACACCTTTCTGGAACACATCACTAATTATCCTCCATGCCAAGAAATGTGAGATCAGCATTTACAACCTAGAGGTCTCCAGGACCTAACGTTTAACTATTAGAAAAACAACAAACGAGAAACTTACTTTCTTATTGGGATTTTTCAGACGTGCGAAGTATTTCTCCAACTGCAAAATCGGAAAAAGAAAGTCAGTGAATCTATCTCAAAGTACTCATTGGCTTAAAAGATAATAACGTCACAGGGGATTCATAAATCAATTGTGAAATTCTAGAAAAAGAAGGCGAAAATAATTTGCTGACATTGATAGATAGAGAATAAAATATGCTACAAAAATGAAACAATAAATTGTATTCCCGCAAAACTTCAGATATAGAACTTAATCTTTACAAGAATAAAATGACAGGGCTCAAGTACGACTAACCAAGTACATCAAACAAAAGGCAAAAACTAAACAATCACAACGGACCAACTACACTCCACGCCGGGATGACAAACACAGAGAGAGGAAAGTGTTATCTGAATGTCCCCTAACTCCAAGATTATTTTTCAGTTCCTAGTACGTTCGTTGTGAGTTTGTATGTGCATATGTACATATGTGTGTACGTATGTGTGTATGTGTGTGTGGTGCATGAATATGCGTGTGCACGTGTATGTAACACTATGTGCCTTTAAAATTGATTTGTAAATCCATAATATGTATCATGTTAAGCGCATAGAGCATTGCATAAGTGGATATGCGCTATATAAATGCAATCCATTATTATTATTTATTATTACGAATGTAAGCGGCAAAAAAACACTTCGTATCTATCTTATTTACACACACAAAAAAAAAACCCCAAAAAAGAGAGAAAGAAATTACCTTAAGCAGTGAAGAAATGAGGGGCATTATTTTCTTTTCTCTTCAGTGAAAAAGAATTTGTGTCATGTGTAAACTGTGTGCATGAAGTGCAATAAATGAGTGAGCTTGGGGACGGAGAGGAACACACCAGAACCAGACAGTTCTGAACACACACTAGAACAACACAAGCAGAGAGCAGCAAGCTGTGAGAGCTTTTGTTTTAGTAAGGTTTTACGGTGCTCACAACTGCATAAGGTTATAAGAGCGCCAAGGGGTGCCTGAATGTCAACAGAGAGGTCCAAACGGGGAATCAAGCTTACTCTGCTCACTTCTCTAGCCTCAACAGCACAAAGTCTGCTTCAACTATCAAGGCACCCCGGAAATAACAGTTCACAAGAGAGTGACAAACATAAAAAAGAAATAGAGGGAAAAAAATGACAATGGTAAGGATGAGATAAGAAAAACCAGCATATCCCCCTGTGTTGTTCCGGCACAGTATGATGCGAGAACTGACCTGGGTCCGGTCAATGGTGTGCACGTAGTAGGCAAAGGCTTTCCCTGTCCACGACACTGCCCCGCACAGAGGAGACAACTCTTGTACTTGCATAATGGTGCCGATATCTGGGGAAAGGGGGAAATGGGGGAATAGAATGTTTACATCGAAAGGAATTCATTCTCATTTTTTGTTTTGTTTTAGTAGAGGTTTTACGGCGCTCGCAACTGCATAAGGTCATATGAGCGCCATTTCTCTTTTTTACTCACAAATAAAAAAAAAAAAAAATAAGGAAAAAGTAATCTCCTTGACTAAAGGATCCCAGCAATGGTATATGGCATTTGAAAATGCAGAAAAAACTTTTTACTCTAACATTTTTGTTAATATCATTTTCTTTCAGGGCAAACCACACGTACATATACTTATAAGTTATTCTAAATGTCCCCCCCCCCCCTCCAACCCACCCCCCCCCCTTCCCTCCAACCCACCTCCCCTTCCCTCCAACCCACCCACCCTCCCTCCAACCCACCCACCCCCCCCCTCCCTCCCAACAAACAAACAAAATTTTCAAGGAAAAGCACGAGTTCCATAGACAGGATATCATCTCTCGTAAATAACCTTCCTCATGGGATGGCATTCAAGTCTTACAAAGACCAAAATTCTTTTAAACTTTTCTACACATTTTCTTGATTAATACCACAAAAATAACAGAAAATAGCGGACCCTTTTCGAAGAGCCACCAATGCATAGTAAAACTGTCGGAATAAGATATACTTAACCCAATCCGTATGTCCTGGGGTCATTTTGTACCCCCGGGGTTGTATTCTTCACATTTTAGAAGACTTCTAGTACGAAGAAATTTGAAACTTTCAGTATTTCTCAAAATAAATAATTTTGACAGACTGCTATGCAAAGCGTACGGATCAGATTAACGAGTAGATTTCCTCTTTGGAAAGTGGTGGCACAGAGTTACCCACGTTGTAGGGATATGATAGTTGTTGTTATTATCGATCCAGCTAGGGATACGATAGTAAAACACGAACAATGGATAGGCTTAAAGACGTATCACATCAGGCCAGAGCATATAAACATACGTCACAGACAAGTTTGTTTTTGCCCCAAACATGACGACAAATTCTCCAGAAAGACTCACCACTGAGGTTGCGAGCTGTGATCCTGAAGTTGAGCGGACAGAAGGCCTTGGAAGACACAATTCTCGCTCCCTCCTTCAGGCAGTTGGCAAACCTTTGCTTCAACTGTGGACGTACACAGTGGGGAAAACACACAACGTAAATCAACAGGCTTGATCACAGACTTGGCTCAGATGCTACTGGATCGCTAACAACAACAACAACAACGATCACAGACTTGGCTCAGATGCTACTGGATCGCTAACAACAACAACAGCAACAACGATCACAGACTTGGCTCAGATGCTACTGGATCGCTAACAACAACAACAACAACGATCACAGACTTGGCTCAGATGCTACTGGATCGCTAACAACAACAACAACAACAACAACAACAACAACAACGATCACAGACTTGGCTCAGATGCTACTGGATCGCTAACAACAACAACAACGATCACAGACTTGAACAATCAAAGTATTTCCCTCTACAGTTAAAACACTGCTAGTGCGAGTGCTGAGATTACAACAATGTTAAACAGTCAATGTTTATCACAGTTACAGTTTCAAAGATTTATTCAACCCTCTGAGCCCTGACCTCCTCGGGGTACCGTGCCCCTCTGCCTTAAGTAAGAGTTTTACGGCACTTGCAACACAATAAGGTCATATAGGTGCCGAAGATTAGAAGTGTTACAAGAGAGTAACAAACACAAAAAAAAGAAGGAGGGGAGATAAAGACAACAGATATTTGATAGGAAAGAAGAAGCAAACCACACCAGAGCACCCGCCAACCACCCAATCCCCTCTGCCTGAGCTCCAGAGTGATATATTATTACATTCATACCATCGTCAGAGTCACATTCCATATCCCAATTAGGGTACCCTCGTCATTATCAGCATCTAATTCAGAAAAATCCTCATAATAACCCATAACGTCCTATGTAGTAAACACAGTTTTCCGAGCAAATTTTGTCCCCGGCCGGCCGGTTTGGATACAGGGTCTCTCGCTCACTGGTGTACAGGTGGCTAGGCATATGTGGGAAATGTTTCCATGCCACCAGAGTGCACCATTGGCTGGTGCTCAAAGGGTTAAGTAGGGTGAAGCACATCAACAATAGCTTAGTGCACCAAAAGAGTTACAAAAGTTCTAGCGCATACTCACATCGTGGTCAACAACCGGCCCGAACGCAAAGTTGTTCACAAACACAATCCTGAAACGACAAAAACAACACGGTCAAATTCTTCTTCTATTCTTTTTCCTTTTCTTTTGAAGAGGTTTTAAGGCGCTCACAACAGCATAAGGTCATATGAGAGCCTTATTAGAGGTGTTACAAGAGAGAAACAAACATAAAAAAAGAAGAAGGGGAGATAAAGACGATAGATCTTTCATAGGAAAAAAGAAGCAAACCACACCAGAGCACCCGCCAACCAAACACAGGGTCAAATTCAGTTCCACAAAGCTGATTATCACATTCAATTTATATCATCGTCATCATCATCATTATAATGTGCCAGATCTGGAACGGACATAAGCCATCATGAGTCTCCATTAATTTCTCCACCAAGAGGCTCTCAAAAATCCTTTATCATCCTCATGTTTTCCAATCACCCATCACGTCGGGTATTCCACATAAGTTTCTCTGGGTCTACCTCTGCCACGTTTCTCATGGCACAGCTAATTTATTTTTAAATACTCAGCCTTTTGAGTTCTTCCGTAAAGCTGGCTAAACAAGATTAACCAATCACACACAAGCAAGCAAACTTACGTGGCTCTGTTGAGCTTTTCCTTTATGTCATCGTGTAAGAAATCTCCTTTTTCAATCTGAACATAGGGGGAAAAAGTAAAAAGTCATGGAAATGCTAACAAAGGAAACATCAACACACTTTTATTAAAGCAGGAAGCTCAATAACAAAATATGTGTACTATAGAAAAATGTTCTGAAGTATGAAAAGTGTCCATATAATATTTATTCTGGCAATATTGTAGGCAAAGTGCGAAGATCTCATTCCAATTGTCCTACTGAGATTTTATTAGAGACAACCTACAGACCTGACGAAAACTGATAAAACCGGAGCCCTCCCATTTTTTTTTCTCATACAGAAGAACTCCGATTAGATAAGGATAAAATCCAATATTTTTCTTGAATTCCTTGTGCTCAACTTATCGTAAATGAAGAGAAAATATACATTTTCATTTGTGTTTATTTGCAATATACATGTTTTTTGCCATAATTAGTAAGTTCATAATCTACCGGAATTCTGAAAACTGATTTTTTTCCCTTTCTTTTTGGGGAGCCTCTGAGGAAAAAACTCCCGACTTTTGCTCATGGAGGGTTTGGAAGGTGCGAACTTACCAAGAAATCTCCGTGGGATTTGCCGTACCACTTCATCCACTGGTGGAACGACTTTTCCATCGCCTGTGGAGAACAAAACAAAAATTACATAAAATGCTTTTTTCAATTCAAAACAAAAGCAAGACAAAACTAACATTATGCCAATGGTCAAAGAAAAGTCTGAACTGAACATTCCTCAGAGCCACATTAAAAAAAAATTATTTTTTTTAAAGAATGTCTTAAAGTTCTACTGTGACACTGGAAGAAAATGTGCCCATTCCATGCAAATTGAGAATCCCACCACTTCCAAAAAATATTTTTTAATCCTGCAGGGTTGAACGGGTTGTTTTCATTATAAAACCCTTAAAATACCAAAGAGGGTTTTTACTTAGAGGCAAATTCACGGTCAGGGCAGATCCCTCTCTAATGCCAGAGACAGTGTTTTAGTTAGTAAGAGTTTTACTGCACTTGCAACACAATAAGGTCATATAAGTGCCAAAGATTAGAGGTGTTACAAGAGAGGAACAAACACAAAAAGGAGTAGGAGAGAGAAGGACGATAGATGTGTGATAGGAAAAAAGGAGCTAACCACACCAGAGCATATGCCAACCACCCAGTGTGATCGGAGCATGGCCCGTGAAGAAACAGACACAAAAACTATGCAGCACGGCCAGAAAAGAGACAGACACAAACGGCCTGGAGACTCACCACAGCGTACTCGGCGGGCCACTCGGCCTTCTCCACGCCGTAGCAGAACTTACAGTTGGTGGCCGCCGACACCTGGAGCACCACCTGGCCCACACCTGCAACACAGATACAACACAGTGACACATCTGCAACACAGTAACACAGACACAACACAGTAACACACCTGCAACACAGTATCACAGACACAACACAGTAACACACCTGCAACACAGTATCACAGATACAACACAGTAACACACCTGCAACACAGTATCACAGACACAACACAGTAACACACCTGCAACACAGTATCACAGATACAACACAGTATCACAGATACAACACAGTATCACAGATACAACACAGTATCACAGATACAACACAGTATCACAGATACAACACAGAAACACAGATACAACACAGTAACAAAGATACAACAGAGTAACACAGATACATCACAGTAACAGATACAACACAGAAACACAGATACAACCCAGCAACACAGATACAACACACCTGCAACACAGTAACACAGACAGTAACACACCAGCAACACAGTTACAGTCCAACCTACTCTAACTGACCTGTGTAGAAGACAATCGATTGTGCAAAAAGCAATATACTATCATTTCCAAGAAAAAATTTTTTTACATTTTTAT